CCGACGCGCTGCATTCCAAGTGCGCGTTATCCGCGAGATTTTTTTTTTCTCTCTGAAAATCGTAAGCGGAACGAACAAACCTGCTGGTCTCCTGTTCCAACAATACAACACATAAGCAACCCACCTTTTTGCACGTGCTTCCGCCTCCCAGTCATAAATCAACCGTGTTTTCCTTGTAATCCTCCAATTCCTCCAATTCCTCGAATTCCTCGACTCGACTCGGATCAAGAAACAGAAATAACCTCCCTCACTCCCCTTCACTACAATGACACCAAATCTGTTTGTCGCTACCCAAACACTCTTCCAGCCGCACAGATGGTTCAAGGACAGGAAATCGGAGCGCTCCACTCGCAAGACTGAACACTGGAATTCGCCTGTCCCCGGAAACTACGAATACATTCCAGGACGAGGATGGTATCTGATAGCCAAAGATAGCGATGCGCCTTCTTCTCCATTCGTCGACACCGACACCGACACCGACACCACCGCCACAGAAGGAGGACCCGTCGGCGCTCCAAGTCGGACAAACCCGAAAGACATGGTTCGCATTGCCCAGCCCATCGCCGTCAGGTACTCAAAGGTTCTCAAACGGTACTTGCTTGCTCCCGATTACTTGACGCGCAAAAGGTATGGCCAGATCGAGGATGCCCGGGGCAAGACGATCGAAGTCGGCTTTTTCCAGCTCGACGACAAGATCGCCTGGGTCCAGTGCTGGGACAGAGAAGGAGAATTCATCCCCGGCCCGTACAAGCTGTGGTGCATCGACGCCTCTTCTTCCAAATTCCGTCACATGCTGCGCAAAGATGACCCGGCCTACCTCCCCTCGCGCCAGAATTCTTTCGAGCGCGAATCAAACTCCAGACGCCGCAGCCAAGACTCGCGATCGACGCAGTACCGTTCCAGTGGTCCTGGAACGCTGCGCGAGGATCCTAGTGCGCCGTCTACCAGACCGAACAGCATCAAGGGATTGATCTCATCGACACCCACGTCGAAGCCGGGAAGCCAGGCCAATTCTAGAAGAAACTCCCTCAAGAGGAATGCGAGCATTCCGCTCGAGGAGGCCAAGGCTGCCTTGAGGGCCATGGCCAAGGCGCAGGCTGATGCTGTCAAGGCTGGCGTTGGCGCGTCTGAGGAGAGGCGTGGTCGACAAGGACGACGGGATCTGCAGTCTATGCGGACGCCTACGACTATCACTTGAGAGCATGGCGTTTGTTGGCATCTCCACATGGTTGTTTGCTCTCGGCCATGACTCCCCAACTTCCCTCCTCCTCCTCCTCCTCCTCCACGTGTTCTCTTCCTTTCTTGATTTATTCACGGCCTCAATCTTCTTTTTCTTCTTCTTCTTCTTATACTCCCTCTTCTTGACTGGGAACGGGATCCAACACACAGCAGGAGCGTGGCACCGGTTTTGATATTTGACACTGCGAGCGCGACTTGTTTGTCCCTGGTTTTTTCTTTATTACACTGTCTATGTATGTCCTTTTTTTTCTACTCTAGACGAAAAGAGATAAGCGAAGCGCTCGCTATATGTATGGGATGGCCAAGGGGAGGTATTTTTTTGATCTTGTTTTTTTTTTACTACAAATATAAACAAACCAACGTCGTGTTGCTTGGTTGGGTATACAGTACAGACAGGAAGCAAGGAAAAGAAAGAAGGAAAGATATAGGGCCGGTGTATATAGGGTTACATGCACGGTTCATATGTTTCTCTCACGCAATAATAAATGCTATGCCTCTCTCTCTCTCTCTCTCTCTCTCTCTGCATACAAACAAAGAACCCGGTCGAGAAATGGTCTTTCATTCACAACAACTTTGGCACCCCCCCTACTTTGTTCCAAACTTCACGGCTGTGGTCGTCGCGGCGCAAGATACTGGTCTGGCCAGCGTTTGCTCGGGCCTAGTTTCCTGCCTTCACGCGGCTCTGGCGCTCGCATGACTAACTTCACGTCGATATTCTGGGGCATGCGTGGGGTTGGGGTCGGGTTTGGTATTGACCATCTTGTATATGTATATGTATATATATATATAACGCCGGGATTTCTAGCACCGAATTAATTGAGCGTGGATAATTAATAATTACTCCAGCGGTGCCGTCTGTCTTCCTCTGGCTTCGGGAATCTTTCTCTCTCTCTCTCTCTCTCTCTCTCTCTCTCTCTCTCTCTCCACCCATTTATCTTTGGTCTTGGGGGCTTATTTGCTGCTGCTGCTGCTGCTGCTGCTGCTGCTATCCGTTCCAGCACTCACACACACACATACACTCTCTCTCTGTATCCCTCGATACTTACTCGGTTGACATATCCATCCACGACTTGGACGCCGTTACACAGATATATATATGAGGTATGTCTGGTATATTTCTGATTGTGTATTCCGATCAAACTACTACCAACAATGCGCCCTCCCTCACCGTCGGAGTCCCTACCTCCTCTCATGCCCGACTCGACCGACTTCGACAAGGCCGCCATGGATTCCCCTGATACATCCGACTCTCGCATCGACACTGCGACGCTGAGAACAACGCTCCAAGGAATGCCGACAGTGTATCTGGCATCTCACTTCTCGACTACTGCGGCACATGGACAACATGATTTCGAATCAACAACAACAAACCCAGCCGCCCCCCAGCCCAATCTACGAGGCGGTGCCGGACCCCCCGACGACCAACACTCGCCCAACCCTCAAACTCCAGCAGCATACTGCTACAGCGAGCCTAGAACCCACGACATCATCTCCGCCGCTGCTGCAACGGGCTTCTACTGGTTCCCCACCGTCTCCACCGCCGTCCTCCTCACGACGCCCAACAAGTCGTACTTTGAATACCCCCGTGGCACCACGACGACCCTCGTCCAACTCCGCACCCGGCTCCAAGAAAGGGGCCTGGAAAACGACCACGCCGCCAGCGTGCGCGTGCGCGAGATCCTCGAATTTCGTGACGCAATGGGGATCCCTGATCCGGATCTCAGTGCAGGACGTATGGTCCTCGTCGCTTTGCCCGAGGAGTACGGGGACGATCAGGGGGGGTCTCGTCCGGGGTGGGAGAGGAAGAGCGAGGGTGAGTCTAAGTGCGCTGCTCGTTGTGCGAGGGGGGGTGTTGTTACTACTACTACGGGGTTGGAGGAGCGGGGGGATGGGATGATGCAGAAGCGGAGTTTGTATGCAGATGTCCATGCGTGGTTCCACTCTTGGGGAGGAGGAGGAGGAGGAGGAGGAGGAGGAGAGGAGGGGGTTTCTCCACGGCCTCTAGAAGGTATCCGCGTAGCGCCATCCTCCTCACCCATCATTGTCCTTGAACGAGGTTCTACCTCCTCAGACCCCAATACCGGCCATACTAATCCCGACTGGCAGCACGGTAAAGGGGAAGGCTGTGAGACGTGGTCAGGAAGTGAAGTGCTGGATCCAAAACGAAGCCGATGCACCTACTGCGAAGTCCCCTTCAAGAAGGAGGAACAACGGTATAGTATTACCGAGAGGGGCGAAGGGGTGACTCCAAGTAGAGGAAAGCACTGGTCTCCTTCTCCACTCCATGGACCCTCGAGCTTGGACAGCAGCCAAGAAGGATCTGAAGGCTCCCGGTCACGTGAAGGAATATCCTCCGGCCCTCCAATCCCATATCTTCGAGGTGGTGGCCGTGATTCCCCTCCCCCTTCCCCTTCCCCAAGTTCTACTCTCCACTCTCAGCCCTCGCCTTTCTCCACTCCCGTATCGTCACCCACCAAATCTCCAAGCTGTCTCAGGAAGCTCTCCCGCACCGACCACAACGAAAGGAAATGCGTCCGCTTCTCCAGGTCCCCGATCCACCTAGCGCCCTCTCCCACACAGATCGGCAGCTATGTCGAACCTATCTCGCAGTCGTCCAAGTGCGGAAGCGCGAGGATGAAACACTCGCCGAGGACGGAGACGAAAGCAGCAGCGGAGCACGACGAAGACAGTGACGAGGAACACGACAGTCGGAGCAACCACGATTTGGCCACTCGCCCGGGGAAGAAGAAAAAGCATGGCGTTCCAGAGCCCAGGAGACGACGAGACGACTCCTCGCCGATACGGCTACAAGACCGTCCCACTCGTGCACTTGAGGCACCACCCCGGATATGGAGCGGCCCAGATGTGCCTGCAACGAGCCTGTGCAAGACCAGGGCGCAGGCCGAACTGCGCAGAACACAAGAGCACATGGCGCGTGTCCGAGATAAACTCGTTCGAGGAAAGTCGACTCGCGGCCCCAACCAAGAAGCCAAAACGAAGAACACAGCGGCCGCGGGCCCTTCATATCACTCCCTCCAAGACACAGTTGAGTCTCCTGCCATATCCCCCACCCAACACGACGCCCGAGCACGCAGCCAGCCCCTCTCACCCATCTCCAACGCCAGCGTCGACCAGGACGGCAATCATACCGTGTTAAAGGAATGGCGCGCGGATACACCTCCTCCAGGCCTGACAAACGAACACAAGGGCAAGATGCCCTGAACAATCAACGGAGTGCCGTGGACTATGACGGGCCAGCTTTGGGATCAGGAAGGGGTCGACGGTAAGGATGACGATGAGGATCTGAGGGCATATAGTAGGATGTTCTATGAGGATTGTCGGTTCATGTGATTGATAAGTTGGTGGATAGGCCATGTTCACTACAGATGATGTTTCATTTAGTCAGAACTGATAGTTGTATACTGCATCTATCTATATTTTAGATGGCATTAAACACTGTTTACTATACATTAAATAAATATAAAAAATAGATATGTTACACGGAAATAGAATATTACTTCTTCTCTACCAACCCCTCTTACCCTAAGTATTATTTGTAACACACACACACGCACACTTACATGCACGCAGTACATACCTATCCATCCAGCCTCTCACTCCCACTACAAAAAACAACAAATCCATTGTCAAACGACCTCACCAGGGGTCGAACCTGG